AGAGATTATGATTTATGAATAAAAGTTTGTAACATATTGTCCAAAGATAAATAGTTCTAAATCTGCCCCATCTTAATGCTTTTTCACCTCCATGGCCCCTACTTTTCTATTTCTTCACTCACGATGTAATCTTCGTAATCATCTTAAAGTAAAGTTGAGTTATAACTCTATTTTCGGGTTGATCAGATTGACCCGACCAAAAAACTGTCAACCCATAAACTAACTTAAACGTCTCTGTCTTCTAAAAGTCAACCCAGCTCAAATCGGAAAAAAAAAAATTAATCCAACCCAAATTTTATGGTTTAGTTGAGTAATCGAGATTGGTTGAGTTCTGAAGTCATATAGACACCTCTACCACATATCATATACTGAATTAGATAGTCAATCCAAGCATATCAAACATTTAACCATTCAAACTATGTTCGAGTCAACAAAAGTCAAAATAGGTATTATATTATTAAAAACATAATTATAAATCTTTTTTTTAAAAAAAATAAAACAAAAAAAAGGGTTAACTTTTTTTTTTCTTATAAATTTATGTGAGGGCGAGAAGAGTCTAGTGACGTGAGCGAGAGTGTCTACTAGTGTTGAATGTAGCGAGAAGTGTTTGAGGGGCGTCTACGAGGAGCATCTAGTGGCATAGGGTTTGAATTTCACAATTTTGTTTAATAATGTTAATAAATATATATTGGACCGATTTGATTCAGGTTGACTCGAACCTTTGTCCAATTAACCCGAACACAAATTGAATTTATTCTATTTCTAAAAATTAATCCAAATATAATCTAACCGAACTCAATTTGTACTATGCGTTCAAATAGAAATAATAAAATATATAATTTTTTTTAGAAAAAATCAGAAAAGAAATAATAAAAAACAAGACCGACCCAAAATAAAAGATTGTCAGATAGAAAAAAAAGGAAAGAAATTTCCTCCTGGAAACGCAATGTCCGTACTGATGGGACCCAGTCCAATCAATGACGTGACACCTGTCACATGACGTGGTGCTTACTAACAACACGTGTTGGATATAACTTTTTTTTTTTATTAAATTACAAATTTAATGTTTATAATTTTAAAAAATTTTAAATATAATTCTTACCATTAAAAAATTAGAATTAGTCATAAAATTTAATAAATGAGGATTTTATTAAATAATTTAAGAAGTTTTATCTGATCATTAATATAAAATTTTCTTTATTATTATTATTATTATTATTGTTTTTTAAATGTATGCATTTTTGAAGCATGTATTTCGTTAAATATTATAGTAATTTTTTATTTTTTATTTTTAATTCAAAGATGCATGAACGAACGTGGAATCTCATGATCCACTCTCTTGGAGCCATTGTCCTCACTTGCACACCAGCGTGACTAGCTTTAATACCATTGTAATAGTCAAAGCCTATCGCGAGAAGATCTTGTCCATTTTAGCCTGTTACGTATCGTCGTCAACTTCATGACTTTAAAACGCATCTAGTAAGAAGAAGTTTTCACACTCTTATAAAGAATAGTTCGTTCTCCTCTCCAATTGACGTGAGACCTTACACAATCAAATCGTAAACAAAATAACGTATAGTAATAAAAGGTCAAGATTCTCACACTATACTTGTCTCCATCTTGCAATAAAAATTATGATTAGAAAAATTGATCTGTGGGTATAGATAGTTTTCATTTTTAGAAATGAGGAGTAAGTTACAGAACCATATTGAAAATGAATGTTGATTAGATGTCAAATCCGGATTCCAAATTATGATTTGAATCCTAAACATGGGTAGTTACAATTGTATTCACAAAACAATGCTCGAGTTGACACATGACTATCCCTTAACGAGTTCTAGATTCAAATATTCTTGCAGACCCACGAAGCTGAAGCTATTCTCGATCCAGCTCTTGCAAGTTTTCATTGGTTAAACTCGGTTACTAGCATCGAAGAGAACCGCCATACACAAGAAAGTGGGAGTTCAGACGAAAATTGAGATGTTGACCACCCAATTTATGATTTGTTCACTTTTTTGGCAATGTTGTGGGGTCAAAAATGTAGTCATTTTGGATTTTTGTTCATCATATTGGTGGCTAAGACAAATGAATCAATGGTGGACCCATAATATATTGTTGATAAAGAAGATATTGCAATATCCTCTCCAATTTCAACCATATGTATCATTCTACCCTTTTTCAATCCTCGAACAAAGTACGTCTCTCCTTAATCGAGACTCGACTCCTTTTCTTTTGGAGTCTTCGAACAAAATACACCCTTTATTTGATACTTCAGTCTTTTTTACACTGCCTTCGAGGCTCACAATACTTTATTCGACATTTGAGACTTTATTGACATGACTTAATTTAGGGCATGACTCTTATAACATGTTAGTTGAACACGACTCTCCACAATTATATGATATTTGTCTCAAAAGGTCTCGTACGAATGAACATATTATTTCTTGATTATAAACCTACGATCGTTCTCTCAATTAGTCGATACAAGATGCAAAATCAACGCATATTGGAGCTACTCGATATTGAAAACATGTTCAATTCTTTAGTTCATTACGTAAACGCGTATTTTTAAAGAGCTGTAGAGTGATCATTTGTTATTTATTAATTTTTTTTTTCTTTTAAATGTTGAAAAAGTGAATAAGAATCAATCTCTCATGTTTCTCCCAACTACTGTTAGGCTCCTGCTTTTTATGCCCTTCTTCCATAAAATAAAATAAAATAAAATAATTTATATATTTTAAAAATAATAATTAAATTAAACTGACCGGTCAGTCACTCACCAACCCAATAAAAAACAATCAGTGCAAGTCTGACCAGTGTCTTGGGAGTTTGCGAATCTCTCATACGTCATCTCAGCCGTTGATTCTCAAAGTACATTACCAATCAACGATCAAAAACTCACCTTCACTTTTCACTTTTCACCAACATGTCCAGTTTTAAGCTTCAAATAGAGATGCTGAGTTGGCAAGGGGATTTTTTGGGCCTCGGGTAATTCTTTTTAAAATAAATTCTGGGGTTAATATTTCGAGATTTTTATATAAATGAAATAAATAAAAAATTAAAGATAATTTAATTAAAAATTAGGTAATATTTATAAGAAAAATTAAAGTGCGACCACCATTCTACCAATGTCAGGTTATTGTCCAGAATCATTCCACGTATAAATATATCTTTTTATTTTCAACTATATTCTTAATCGATAATTTACCATAGCAGATTATCTCATTAACAGAATCAAATAGAGAATTAGAGCGAAAGAGTGAGCTTTTGGACAAATATGTTGCAGGACAGTGGGACACTCACTATGGTTAACACGTGAAAATCTAACATGGTATTGCATAGGTAACTTCGTGCAAATAATTCTCCAAAGTCATCGAGAGAGAATTTCAGCTCAGCGTGCATCCAGTTCTATCAACAATAAAGTATAAAACGGATTTATGAGCTTGAAATTCATTATCGTTCGGTCGAAAAATCTCTACTAAATTTAATGCACTTCGAAAGTGTCGATATTATCGCTTAAATAAGTGAATTTTATTGAATTAAAAAATGACTATATGGATGTCAATCACACGAGTTATGAGTAATGTTATGCATAAAAGTATTTTATGTTGCAGCATGTGGTGTGACCATATCAGTCGCGATTCATAATTTACATTTTGCTTTCCTTTCTTTTCAGCTACATTCGACTGCGTGAGCATACACATGTTTATAGTTGGGTTTACGGGTGCGAAAGTGATGCTTGCTTAGTAGATTATGTACATGTGCATGAGTTGGGTGTATGGATGTACTGCACATCAACCCATGTCGAGAACGTAAAGTAGAGCCTAAGGACAGTCATATCTTAGGTCCCACCAACTATGTGTTTTTCTCTTTCAACGATAAATTTTAAAAAAATTTAAGAAATAAATAATGTAATATAATATAATATAATATAATATATTTATGGTTAAGCAAATGTAATTATGTTTGGTTAAGAACCCAAAACACCATTCATTCACTTTATAGGGAGAGGAGTGGAATTTATGGGCTCAAAACAAAGGTATGGCTATAAAATAAAATAAAATAAATTCAATTATATCTCCTCTAAAATTAAGCATGAATTTAAGCAATTCTATGATACGTTACATTGTAACATCCAAACTGACCGCTCGTAAAACTTGTCTGCTTTAATTATTTATATATCATCGTCAGCCTTACGATTTTAAAACGCGTTTACTAGAGAGAGGTTTTCACACATTTATAAGTAATGTTTCGTTTTCCTCTTCAATCGATGTAGGATCTCACACTATTATTTTAGAATCTCGACTAAATAAAAATAGAATTAATAAAATAATGAAATTATGAATATTTTTCTTAAAATGCACAAAGAAGGAATATGATTGGTGACACGTGTCATTTTTGGTTGCCTCGTTGGTTTTTTTCTCGAAAGCAATAAAGTAGTAAACAAAGTAAGGTTGCATGATAAAAAAAAAAAAAAATAGTTTTTTTTAGGGGAGGGGACATAAAGGGTAATTAAACTGAAAAGGTAAGGGCAATCTGGTATCTGACGTCACCGCGACAGCAACACGCACTACATCACAGCCCAACCATACCCCACCACCTGTCCACACAACGACAGTTACCACCACCTCCACCTCTTCGATAACGACAAATTTATATATTTTTTCCCATTATCTAATTTATAATTTTAGTTTTTTAATTTTTAATTTTTATTTTTGTAATTTCTTATCTAATATAAAATGACCAAAGGAAAAAAAAATATTTTTGACTATTTTTTGATTATTTTATTTATTTAATTAATCTATTTAGTGTTTATAGAAAATGTAAAAAAAAAAAAAAAAAAAAAAGCGACAATTTACAAGAGGTTAGAATCGTAATTTTGACACAAAATAATAAAAAAAAGCCGTAGTGGTACTTTATGTAAATAATGGGATTTCTGAGGCCATTTTGGGAAACTCACATTTTCTCCTTGTCTTCTTTTTATGGCGGACATCACCGGAGCCGCTGCGCTTTTCTCGGAGAGAGTGATTACGAGAGAAAATTTGCAGAGGCGAAGTGAAAGAGAAAGAAGAAAGAAGAAAGAAGAACAGAACATACCCACTTCCATATCCTTAAAAAAATCCCATTTTCATCTTATTTCACTGAAAAAGAACCCATCAGCACTCACTCACTCTCCGATTCACAAACGGGCTTTCCCCTGTTCTTCTCGGAGTTTGATTCCCACTTCATTTTTCCGTCTCTGGAGCTCAGAAATGGAGCAGATCATGGCAGTCTACAAGATTCAGACCTGTGGGATAGTGTAGGTTTTTCAGCAGAAACCGGTTTTCGCTGGTTCTGCTCTCTTTCACTTTCATTACACCCTTTCCTCCCTTTCTTTCAAGCTTTCGGCTCGCCGGAGCATGGCTTGCCGTAGAAAAATTGTGGGAAATCTTGACCCAGAAAGGAAAAGAAGTGGTGGTTTGAGAACGAAGCAGGCGGGGAGAGGATCGTGCCGGGGAAGTTAGAAATTACGAATGAAAAAATCGAAAATAGTTTGGGAAATGTTCTGTCTCTCCGGCGCTTGACCATTTTAACTTCTTGGTCTCTACTGTTTGGTGCATGTTTCTATCGGATTTGGAAGAAATTTTCAAAGCTTTGAAGATAACAAAAGATTGGGTTCGAGCTCTGTTTTTGTAGCTATGGGGTTGCTTCTTAAAGAGACACTCAAAGCTCTTTGTGGTTCGAATCAATGGTCTTATGCTGTGTTCTGGAAGATCGGCTGCCAAAATCCCAAGTAAGATTCATACTCTTCAACCCCATGAAATCCCATCTTTCCCTTTTAAGAATGATGGGATCTGGGTTTGTCAATCCCTAAAAGTGGGATGTTCATTAATTAGCTTTGAATTTATGTTTCTTTCATAGCTTTGGAAGTAGAATGGTAATTAACTAGCTAGATCCACATGATTGGTTGAAGCAGATGGTTAGATATCTGTTCTTGTTCGGTTGTCACTGACTGAAACATCATTTTCTTTTGTTTTTGTATGAAATTGATAGCCAGTTATTTTGGAGTTGCAGGCTTCTGATATGGGAAGAATGCCATTACCAGCTCTTGCCCAGCTTTGAGTCTTCTGGAAATGGGAGTTCCAAATTATTACCCCTTGAGGACTGGGAAGGATGTTCATCCATGCAACAGGCGAATCAAGTGGAGGGCAAACTTTTTTCACTAATGAAACAAATGATGTGTAGTAAACAGATCAGTCTAGTAGGTGAAGGGTAAGAAGCTTGCAGATCTCAGTTACTTTTTCTTTCAGTTCTAGTTTTATATGAACATGCTATGCACATTTGTTCGTTTTCAGGATTGTCGGGCGAGCTGCATTTACAGGAAACCATCAGTGGATTCTGTCGAGCGATTCTACAAGAGATGCCTATCCACCAGAGGTATGTATTCATTGTCTTGCTGCATCATTTGCTGCTGATGAAGTCATTGGAATCATGAGTATTCTCAATCCAGAAATGGGGTTCTTGGCGATTTCTTGTTTTCCAGGTTTTGATTGTTTTGGTATGTGTTTCCAGGTTCTTAATGAGTTGCATCAACAATTTCTTGCTGGGATGCAGGTTTGATCATTTTGTTACATTATCCTTTCCCTGTGAATGAAACTGTTTCCTCTATCAGTTCTATGAACAGCTTTTGTATCTTGTTTGCAGACCATTGCTGTTATTCCTGTTCTTCCTCATGGAGTGGTGCAACTGGGCTCGTTCTTTGCTGTGAGTACCTTTACCAATGCGCATGTTAACCAATTTTATGTACATGGTTCTACTCCTAGAAGATATTGTCCTCTTTGAGCTTTCTCTTTTGGGCTTCCCCTCAAGGGTTTTGAAACGCGTCGGCTAGGGAAAGGTTTCTACACCCCTTATAAAGAATGCTCTGTTCTCCTCCCCAACCAATGTGGGATCTCATAATCCACCGCCCTTCGGGGCCCAGCCTCCTCACTGGCACTCGTTCCCTTTTCCGATTGTTGTAGGACCCCCCAATCCACCCCCTTCAAGGCCTAGCGTCCTTGCAAGCACACTGCCTCGTGTCCACCCCCTTCGAGGCTCAACCTCCTCGCTGACATACCGCCTTATGTCCACCCCCTTTGGGGCTCAGCGTCCTCTCTAGCACACCATCTCGTGTTCACCCCCTTTGGTGCTCAGCATCCTCGTTGGCACACTGCCTCGTATCCACCCCCTTCGAGGCTCAACCTTCTCGCTGGCACACCGCCTCGTGTCTACCTCCTTCGGGGTTCAGCCTCCTCGTTGGCACACCGCCTCATGTCCACCTTCTTCGGGACTCAATCTCCTGGCTGGCACATCGTCTCGTGTCCACCCCCTTCGGGGCTCAGCCTCCTCGTTGGCACACCGCCTCGTGTCCACCTCCTTCGGGGCTCAGCCTCCTCACTAGCACACTGCCTCGTGTCCACCTCCTTCGGGGCTCAGCCTCCTCACTAGCACACTGCCTCGTGTCCACCTCCTTCGGGGCTCAGCCTCCTCGCTGGCACATCGCTCGGTGTCTGACTCTGATACCTTTTGTAATGGTCCAAGCCCACCGTTAGCAGATATTGTCCTCTATGGGTCCTTTAGACTTCCTCTCAAAGTTTTTAGAACGCGTATGCTAGGGAGAGGTTTCCACACCCTTATAAAGAATGTTTCTTTCTCCTCCCCAACCAATGTAGGATCTCACATTATCGGTCTTTTCTATTACATCTCGTATTAGCTCAATGTTTTTCTGTTTTACTCATCATATTTCCAAGTTCCTTCACTGATTTTCTCTAATTGCTCCTTCAGATCATGGAGAACTTGATGTTTATAAACAAAGTGAAGAGTTTGATACTGCATTTAGGATCTGTACCTGGTGCTCTTCTTTCTGAGAATTATAATGGAAAAGATCCAGTTGAGAAAATAGGTGTGCCTGTGACTTTAGGAATGGCTGGACTTACAGACCCTACTCAAAGTTGCAGCGTGATTAAACCCTTGTTGGTGAATGAGAATTGCAACCTGCAAAACAACTCATTGCTAGCTTCTACGTCTGGTCCGCCTTCTAATTTTCTGTTACGAGAGAATTGGCCTAATCATCTTGCTGCTTCTTCAACACCACAAAATCCATACTCGACCCAAGCTTTCGCCGTGTCTCATCAAAATCTCAGTCTTCCAAACGTTACTCAAGTGATGAAGCCGAATCTCCCTTCAAGCGACAATTTGGAGTATGGACGTGCTCGAGCTGAAGTGATTCTCCCAAATCCCGAGGCACGGATGAACCAGCAGGCTTCTTCTATTTCTTTTTATAGCTCCCAACATGGTGTCATTCCATCATCTGCTGGCCATAGCAGCCTGAAACTAGTTGGAAATCCTAATCGTTCTGCTGTATATGTTCAGAAAGGTGCTTATAACTGCTTAAATCCATCAAATAGTTGTAACTTGTCTCAACTGGTGGCACATGAAAATAGTTCTCTGACCACCAATCATCCATTAGTCGAAAGCAGACGGTCCAACGAAAAGAAAAATAGTTCTTCAAAGCCATTTTCAGTTTGTAATGACCGCCGAGCAACTGAGAAAAGTGTATATGGAGTTGAGCAAGCTGGAATAGAGGTACAAAATGCTCTCAAGTCCAAGGCCGAGGAGGTTTCTAAGTCAGGTGGGGTAGATCGTTCAGTTACAACCGAGCAACTGTCACTCGAGAAGCTAGCTCCATCAGAGTCAAATAGAGATAATGATTTATTTGAAGCGCTTAATACTACATGGACTCGACTAGAGAGTGCCATGTCCATGAATGAGTACATGCCTTGTCTTGCTAATGACTCGAGCCATTTTATTAGTGGATTTGAGAGCCCAGAACTCCCACAAATTAAGAACAAACAAACATGTTCTTTACCTTCTTCAGGTGATGACTTGTTTGATATTCTAGGTGTGGAGTATAAGAATAAACTACTCACTGGCAACTGGAATGAAGACAGGAAGAATTTTGATGCATCTCAGATAATGAACGTGCTCGAGGCTGGATCAAGTTCAAACGTCTCGTCTATGTGTGAAAAGATATCAAAATCTGGAATCAATCCCATGACAGCCTCTGACCATCTCTTGGATGCTGTTGTATCCAGAGGCCACTCTGCAGATGATAGCATTTCTTGTAGGACGACATTGACTAAAATCAGTAGCTCCTCTGGTCCAAGTAGCTCGGTTTATGGACAGCCAAATGCATCCAATCTCATGCAGGGGGGAGTTTTTGGCGTCCCCAAGTCCCTAGATATGGCAAATTGCTCTCAAAGTTCTTCAGTATATGGATCTCAAATCAGTTCATGGGTTGAACCAGGCGATAACTTGAAGCGTGACAGTAGTGTGTCGACAGCCTATTCTAAGAGGCCTGATGAAGTGAACAAATTGAGTCGTAAAAGGCTTAAACCTGGAGAGAATCCTAGACCGAGGCCGAAAGATCGCCAGATGATACAAGATCGTGTAAAGGAGTTGCGGGAGATCGTGCCAAATGGAGCAAAAGTAAATCCTTTTACATATATATCTGTGATTCTAATGAACTTGTCACTAATTTTGTGTCAATTTCTTTTTAACAGTGTAGCATAGATGCATTACTTGAAAAAACCATCAAGCATATGCTTTTCCTGCAAAGTGTTACAAAGCATGCTGACAAGTTGAAACAGACCGGAGAGTCTAAGGTATCGGAATTGTTAACCATTCTCTTTGTCGCCCGATATTATATTTTGGTTCTCTATGGAAATATTTTGCAGTTTTTTAGTGAAGAGTGTTGAGAGCTTGTAATCATAGTTGAGAGTTTTGTTACCTTTGCTTATTGCAGATCACGAGCAAAGAAGGCGGACTCTTTCTTAAAGACAACTTTGAGGGTGGGGCGACGTGGGCGTTTGAGGTTGGTTCACGAACTATGGTTTGTCCTATCATAGTCGAGGATTTGAATCCGCCACGTCAGATGCTTGTGGAGGTAGGCCTTCCATTTGAACTATATATAATGTTGAAAGTCTCCAGTTTGTATGCTGTGATTCACATTTGTTATTAGTATGGTTTATATTGACATTTTCATGCTGTTTTTGTGGCAGATGCTTTGTGAGGAGAGGGGTTTCTTTTTGGAAATAGCTGATTTGATCCGTGGAATGGGATTGACCATACTGAAGGGAGTGATGGAGACACGAGATGACAAGATATGGGCGCGGTTTGCTGTCGAGGTAAGTCAAGAACATGGTATTGGTGTGTAGTAGTTGTCAACTCTTTAGCTACAATGCCTGTAATCCTCTGGAAGGTCCCATATTGGTTGGAGAGGGGAATGAAACATTTCTTGTAAGGGCGTGGAAACCTCTCCCTAGTAGATGTGTTTTAAAACTGTGAGGCTGACGGCGATACGTAACGGACCAAAGCCAACAATATCTGCTAATAGTAGATTTGGGTTGTTACAAATGATATCAGTCTAGACACTGGATGGGGGAGCTAGCAAGGACGCTGGGCCCCAAGGGAGGTGGATTGTGAGGTCCTACATCGGTTGGAAAGGGGAACGAAACATTCCTTGCAAGGGTGTAGAAACTTCTCCCTAGTAAACGTGGTTTAAAACTGTGAGACTAACAGCGATACGTAACGGATCAAAGCTGACAATATCTGTTTGCCTTACTATGTCTTTTATGTATGATGGTGCTTTCTTTTTTACTCCAAGCAAAATATAAAGGGAGTGTATGTAGACCGCTAAAATCTTTAGTCAAAAAATAACTGAGTCAATTTGCTTTTACTTTTACAGGCTAACAGGGACGTGACTCGAATGGAGATATTCATGTCGCTCGTTCACCTGTTAGAGCAAACGCTTAAAAGCAACAACGTGTCGATGGCAAACACGATAGATAACAGCCATATGATCGTTCACAATTCCTTCCCTCAGTCGACCCCAATCGCTGCAACTGGCAGGCCTGGTAGCTTGCAGTGAGCAGCTAGCTGCCTGCCCTTCAAGTTCTCGTCGGGATGTTGACTCGAATGGAGATATTCATGTCGCTCGTTCACCTGTTAGAGCAGACGCTTAAAGGCAACAACGTGTCGATGGCAAACGCGATAGATAACAGCCATGTTCACAATTCCTTCCCTCAGTCGACCCCAATCGCTGCAACTGGCAGGCCTGGTAGCTTGCAGTGAGCAGCAGCTGCCTGCCCTTCAAGTTCTCGTGGGGACGTTGAGAGTGAGCGGCGATATCGCTCGCTATGACTAACATGTTTCCAGTGTTCCAAGGTCTGTGGTTGTTCTAACCTTTTGGCTTGATCTATCACTCAACAGTCATTAAATCATAGTTGTAATTTGGCACTGAACTCAGTATTAGAAGGGAAGATTTGTTTAGTTTATTTTAGGAGTGTGTTATTTTCTCCATGAATGTATAATTGTTTTCATGAAATTGGGGCTGCTGTTCGCTCTTTCAAGCCATCTAGTAGAGTATTAGGCTTTACTTTATACCTTTTATCCAAATCTTAATTGTAAACGGTCATAAAGTATGTTGCGGTTGAAACTTAGTAACCTGGGTTAAGCAACCGAGTAACGAAACATTCTTTATAAGGGTATGGAAACCTCTCTCTAGTGTATGCGTTTTAAGACCGTGAGACTGATGGCGGTATGTAATGAGTTAAAGCGGATAATATCTGTTAGTGATTATCAGGAGCTGTTAAGAGAGACTAAAGCGACCAATGTTTGAAAATACACAACAAAATTTAAAACTTTTTATTAAATGCATGTAGTTAATAAACATTATATCAAATAAGACATTCAATTTACTTATACAACAAAATATTCGAATATGACATGACATAGTTTACAAAATAGTTAACACAAAATGACAAAGGATTCATGTAAAGCGTAAATATGGGAGACCAAGACATAGATTTATCTCGATCCCTATAGCCTTGCCTTGACTGTTCCATCTAGACTTCGTCTGAAAAGATTAAAATACCATGGATGAGTATAAAAATACTTAGCAAGTAGGTTACTCTCATGGTAGTTAAAGGAAGTAGAGTGACTTCCAAGGGTGCAACCACGATTAGTGACTGTGAATGTCGTAGGAGTAGAGTCAGAAGATTCAAGGGAGCTCTGGAATAACTCGTTGGTTACTAAAGGAAGCAGGTTGACTTCCATGAGTGTGACCACGATTAATGGTTGTGAATGTTGTAGGAGTGGAGTTAAAGATTCAAGAGAACATTGGAACAACTCCTTGGTTGCTAAAGGAAGTAGGGTGACTTCCATGGGTGTGACCACGATTAGTGGCTGTGAATGTCGTAGGAGTAGAGTCAGAAGACTTAAGAGAGCACTGAAACAACTCATAACTTTCAACTTTTGAGACTACATCTGCAAAACAGAGGGAGGAGTGATAGCCATTTGAGTAGTAGAAAAAGTTGAAAAATCGGTGTCGAGTCCACCAAGAAACTAGCGCACCTTATCAATGTCCTCAACGAATTTGTCAATGGCATGAAGTTGATCACATATTGTTTTGAAGGTACGGGCATACTCAGCAACAAGTTTGGTGTCGCATTACATCAGCTGCAAGTCATCCTTGAATCTCAGTTCACGGGCTTTCAAATGATGGCTGAACATAGTCTCCAACATGAGCCAAACGTCACGTGCAGTGGAGAGACCAACGACAACAATGACTTCCTTAGTAAGATAGTAGAGCAAGAGACAGAGAAGCCGTTGATCAATTGCTTTCCACCCAAAATATTTGGTATTGAGTGTTGGAGAGGTTTGTGGTTCAAAGCGAGGTGGCGAAACAAAGTTCCATCAACGTAGCCTAGCATGTCTTGACTCTCAAGAAAAGGGAGTAGTTGACTTTTCCAAAGAAGATAATTAGAGGAAGAAAGTTTGATGGTAATGATATGTGGAAGGCTAAATATTCTCAATCATACAAGATATTAACCTATAATAAAAGATCAAATATGATATCTATGATAAATCATAATTGAAGGCTAAATATCCTTAACATATATCAACGTTGCCCATCATCAATACACTATTTTTGTCTGTATTACTAAAAGTAAGTTATTTTGTGCACATCACGACATGTGCGTTCTTTCGATGAGTACCGATGCTTCTTTGTTTTCGACTTCTTAGACATTGCTTACTTTTTGGTGCAACCTTGCTTCAAATAGGCTTTGTTCGAATTTTATGTTTCGATCTCCAACTTGAACTTGATTCGATGACAATTAGACTCTGCAATCTACCCTCAAAAAAAAAAAAAAAATTTGAAGATGGAAAAGACATAAAGTAAAATTAGATTAACCATGTTCATGCTTTACAGTCATATATATTGTTCCAAAATGAGTTACACGAGGACATAAAATCATGTGTGAAAGTAGAGGTACATATTCAATCCAAGCCATATCAACATATTCTACTTCCAATGCCCTATCCATTGCTAACACTACATGCACCTCTCATCTCAATTTAAAACTAACCTAAGTTTCATTCCTATCATTCTTATGTAATCATTTTAATACCAATATTTACATCTTTTGATATCTTTTGAAGTGGTTTTGAACCGTTGCATAATTAAGAAGGCTACTTTCATCACTTTCTCGATATTTCTATGTGTAAAAGCTTTAGCAAGAAGGCAAGCGTGAGAAATTTTACCAGCCAACTATTAATACGTGTATTTTACTCTATTCTCAAATTTTATAGGGTGTAAACTAGAGGAGAAGTTTTATTCTTCTTCGTTTTACAATCTCAAACGTCAAAATTTTTATTCTCCTTTGTTCCTTCTGAGCTTTCGCCTAAATCAACTAGTAAGAGTGTTTGTAGGTTAGGTTGAGATATTTTTAGACCCAATTCAACCCAACTATGAATTTTTTGGGTTAGACTGGTTTGGGTTATTCAGGTCATTTATTCAACCCAATCCAGCCCATACGATTGTACAAACATTAAGTTGGGTTGATCAGATTTTTGAACACTTCTATGGACGAGTCTTTTTAAAGACTAATTTGGACATGCATTGAGCGTTCGTGAATCGAAAATAAAGAGAGATTTATGCGAATGAATTTGAGGTAGATATTACATTATGCAATGAAAAAAAAAGAAGAATCAAAATAGATATTTGAGATCGTAAAGAATAAACAAATCAACCCTGATAAGCATGGAGACACTTGAAGGAAGTGACATTGTGATGTAGAAAAGTAAGAATGGTTTAGAACAAAATCAAGAGATGTGAAAATTTTAGAACATTTGAATGATGGGGTTTCCATTCAATGGTTTAGATTGCCAAAGATTTAAATAGGGAACATCTTTATAGTTGAGTTGTTTGTATCAACATGACTAGGATCGTCATCAAATTTATGCTAACGTCGTTTTAGAACTCGAGAAAAGTAAGTATAAAAGTTGATAAACAAAAACATGAAGATATAGATCCAATGACACTGCTAGCAAACGATCTCGTCACACACTTCCTTACCCGTATTTAATTTATTTTTAAAGGCTGATTGAAAAATATTTAGTAAGTAACCTCCTATCCGGGTTATATGTGTATACATACACAATAAAATGTAATGTAGATTGGAAAGACCTAAACCTATTTAAAATTGGGTCATCTAGCTTGTGCCTGTTCATCTAAGATCCTATATTAGTTGGAGAGGGAAATGGAGCATTACTTATAATAAGGATGTGGAAACCTTTCCCTAACATATGCATTTTAAAACTGTGAGACTAACCGTGATATATAACGGGCCAAAGCGTATCTACTAGGTGGGCTTGGGCTCTTACATATGGTATTAGATTCAGACACTGGGCGGTGTTCAAGCATGACCGTGACACTAGGCCCCCAAGGGGGTGGATTGTGGATCCCACATCGGTTGGAGAGGGGAACGAAACATTCCTTATAACGGTGTGTTTTAAAAACATTGAGAGAAAGTCCAAAGAGTACAATAGAAATTTTTTTAGCAAACACGTGAGTGAAGACAAAGCACAATGACCATGTTGTAGAGGATACAAGGAAATGTCAAGACATACAGAAGCCGAGTTCTTATCCAAATCGTGAAGGTGAGATGTTACATATTATTACGTTGTATTTGAAAAAACTATTCCCTAAGTACCCTTAGATCAACAAGTTAAATGAATGAAATATTTGAGAAAAGAGAACCTTGAAGGACATTACATAGAAGATGGACGGCCAAAAACAAAACCAGCTAAAAAGGACATTAGGAAAATGTGAAGAGAGGCATATAGACAAAGCTGGTTGGCAAAGCAGCTGAGGTTTTGATGCCTCACCAGATTTTGCAGAGGGCAACATGATCGATCACCAAGTTTCATGGAATCAGAATATGTCAAATGTTTGATTCTTTCTTGCAAACTTGTAATGATTTTTGTTCTCTTTTTTTCCCTTTCAAGTTAGGGATTCATCTGATTTGAAACCTCATTTGTTTTATTAATTTATTTCCAAGAGAGAATATGAAAAAGTAATATGGGTTGGAAAGAAAATGCTACCATATTATTTTATTTATTGTTTTTCTAGTTTCATGTTCGATTGTTATAACTATTTAAGATTAGGGTTTACCGTTTAGGGTTTAATCTTTAATAGCCCAAGCCTATTGTTAGTAGACCGCATCGGTCCGTTACGTATCGTCGTCAGCCTCAGTTTTAAAACGTGTTTGTTAGGGAGATGTTTCTACACCTTATAAAAGAATGTTTTGTTTCCCTCTTCAACCAATGTGGATCTTATAATCCACCCGCCTTAAGAGGTGTTGAATAAACTTAAATGAAAAGAGTAGCTTTTTAAATTTTATTTTATTTTTCGTTAATTTTAGTGAGCTTTGAAACTCAGTCATGGAAGTAAAAGGCCAAAACAAAAAATGAGAGGCCAATACGTATTTGATGGATAGTGGATGAAAGGCTAATAACTATTTAAGTAACATGGGTTGATAGGATAGCCATTTTTAGTCAACGTCCTTGTTGACACATCACAGAGTGTCTGATTCCAATACCATTTGTAACAGCTCAAACTCACCATTTGTAGATATTGTCTGTTTTGACCTGTTACATATCAACGTTAACCTCGCAATTTTAAAATGTATTTGTTTGGGAAAGGTTTTCACACTCTTATAAGAAATGTTTCGTTCCCCTCTCTAATCGATATGAGATCTTGTATAATTGACTCGAACTCATAGGCATTAGAAATGTGAATGAAAATATATTCAATATACATGCTTATAATATCATTGCATTGAGACCCCTTTTCTATATATGTGTGAACCCCTCCAAATCCTAAAGCATTTTGTAAATGCTCAATGTTTTTGGGAATGAATATGAGTTGATCTGTGACTCTGATTGGTCAGTTGTGTGATTAAAATAGATATGATCAACTTTATAAAAGTTGAGTTTCAATGGCTGAAATTGATACCATATGGTTCAGGAATATATGCAATTGAACATAACCCTATAACCAACAAGAAGGGCCTCTCACTAATGGCTACAAAAATCTTAACTTTAACTTTGCCTTTACCAGTCTAGTGAACAAATCTTCACATGTTCTTGATATGCTTTTCAAACAAAAAATACATATTTTTAAGTAATACAATCC